GTTTTTTCCAGAGAAATCATTGTCACTGATCCTCCTGCAACATTTGAGAAACTTAGACCTTGAGTACTAGCCAATGTTCCAGAAGACTGAGGAAGAAAAACGAGAGAATATTCACTCAAAAATTTCAAAAAATAAAAATAAAAATGAGTTATATGCCTAACATTCTATACTTACTGTATAGAATTTAATCATGCAAATAGCACAAAGATATATCTTTCCAAAAACAAAGTCAAGCCATGTACTTCCAATAACTAATATGTCTTATAATAAAAAAGCCGGCATGCTTAATCCAGAATTAGCATGACAGCTCCTTCCAAGTTCCAATAATTACTATAAGGAACACCAAATTAAACAGGCAAGCCTGGCCCATATTATTTTTATGCATATGTGAGAGGTCCAATGGAGGCAACATTCAATCATATGATAAAATCATCAAAGTAATCATAATCTAATTGAAAAAAGAAGGAAACATAACATACTTAATAAATTTCTGATAGATTAGTAAAATTTATTTCCACTGCAGTGAATTTTTTGAGAATGAGATGCCCACATCTACCTAGGATTATATACAGCTGATTCATCCAAAATACATCATTTACTCTTCAGTTTTAAATGACTGCGTGGATTAGAAGCCCTTAAAAATCAAACTCTAAACACAAAAAGAGAAATATAAACCACTGTGAGAAAAGAGAACACATTACCCGTGAGCATTCATGACATTTCCAGATATCTTCATTTTCGCTCAAGGGGAGGGACACCTGTGAAACGATTTCCTTCAATACTCCTGCATTGTGCATAGCTTGAATCAATTTTCCATTGACAAAGAATTAAAGATAGAAAAAGTATACACATTGAGTGGAATAATAGCTTACAAGTTTCGGAGGGTAGTGATCCTCGATAGTATTTTGGGGAAAGGCCTGTAGCCTTTAACAAAACCTTGCTGCCACCAGGATGATCCCCCAAAAATTTTGTCACATCGTAAACCTGCTCCAACATAAAGAAACAAGATTCATGCTAAATTAAACATTAATGTCAAAATGTATGTTCTCAAACTTATAGTTTGATATATATTCAGATGTTCGAGTAATGATACCTTGTCATTGATCAAAAGCCAGCAGGTTGGGTTGCGTTAACTTCTTTTAGAACTTGCATAATTAAGAAAGGGAAACAAATAACACAGTAATAAGTATTGTTACCTCCAGTGCCACTACTGTTTCCAGTTAGGGGAGTGGCCCTGACAAGTGTTTTTCCCATAAAAGAGCTGAAAAGAAATATCATTTTCGCTAAGTTTCGGTGGAAAGGCTATTTTTTATGCTTAGAAGGAATGATGATGAGCTTACAGATCTTCCAAGTGCATTGTTGCCCATTGGGAAGGTACAGAGCCACTAAGGATGTTCCGACTGAGATCACTGTATGAAAAGCAGAATAGCAATATATAAGACAAACAAAAGGGAAAGACAACTTCTTATTGAAGTAAAACTTACAGACAGGCTCTTAAGAAAGTGAAGCTAAGATAGTTCTGGTGGAAAGGATCTAGATAAATTTTGTGCTTTTAACCATCTGCAATAACAGGATCACATGGATTTCACTAAAGTGGCTTTACTCGTGAAATGATCAAATACTTCAGGCTTGAATGTGTTGAAGTGGAAGAATTGTGTACCTGAATACTACAGATTTACGTACCATAAGATTCAGGACAAGTTTGGAATACCAACTAAGTTCTGCATTTAGTACCCTCTACTGAACCAAGCTTCTAGGTTTAGAATTATGTGTTGCACTTACACATTAGTAGAACAACAACTGATGGATCCGTGAATAAATATTGACCTTCAATTTGATTCAAACAAAATAAGCAAACAAACTAACAACAACGGACAATCATTTCTTTCAGATTCTCTGAACCATGAAATAATGCTGAACCCCGTGAATCAATATATACATTACTTTATCAAGTTGAAATAAAGAGTTGCACTACATCTTTTTTCACAACAATGTGTACAGTATTCAATAATTCATAGCAGAGATGCAAAAATACAAACCATTTACATTGAAAATTTCAGGTCCCATGGTTGGCTTTTCAAAACAGGCAACTCTATGGGTATTTTTAAATCATACTAAAATAAAAGGCATGTGCCAACAAGTGAAGGCCGAGCATCGCAGACCAGGTGGGTTACTCCATCCTTTACCAATTCCCCAATGGAAATGGGAGCATGTTACAATGGATTTTGTCGAAGGGTTGCCAAGGTCACAAAAGGGACATGATACCATATGGGTCATAGTGGATCCACTAACCAAGTCAGCACACTTCCTACCTGTTCGAAGGACTCACACTATGGATGCCCTCGCCACTATATATGTACGTGAGATTGTTCGACTCCATGGAGTGCCAGTTTCTATTGTAAGCGACAGAGATAGCCATTTTACATCGCGTTTTTGGAGGAGCCTCCAAAACCCTTTTGGCACCACATTAAATTTCAGCACAGCCTTTCATCCTTTTAATTGCATGTATCGACCACCAGACACGACGAAAATTGCTAGCAAGAGAATCAGATCCCAACACATTCAAAGCAATCCAATCTACACTACCTATTCCTTTGCAAATTACATGCACCAACAACCCTAAAATTCTTATATTTTATGCAGAAAGGATTTTTCATCAAAACAAGTTCCACAGAACAGTTCAAGCAACAGGATCAACAAGAGAGGGGAAAAAAGCTAGATTCCCAAAATACATTAAAGAAACCATCTTTTAAACAAAACAGTCTAACCACATTACAGATTTAACTAAACTCCATAGCAAAACCCAAACCTAAAACCTTAACAATTAGCCAAAAAGCAGGAATTAAATCCTTACCTCACAAGCACATAACAAAAGGCTGCGTTCTTTAAGTGACGGAGAGCGAACATCATTTTGGTGGTGAAGAAAGAGAGAAGAGTGACTGTGTTTGCTGAAATCTAATGGATTTGAGAAATCAAAACAAAACCCTAAGCTAACTACGATTTGAGAAAAATTGATGAATCTAATGGATTTTTATATAGTGAAGATGGATTTTAAGAAAAAGAGAAATTTAAACAAACCCTAATTAAGATGGATGTTGAAAATTTTATGAAGGATATGGTGGTGGAGAAGAAAGAAAGAAGAGTGATTGCGTTTGCTGAAGAAGAAAGAGTGAAGGAATTGAAGCACGGGGGAGAGAGAGAAAGAGAAAAAGGTCATGGAGAGTTTGACCGAGTTTCACACAAACCTTCTCAAATTCGATTTCCACGTGATCTATCAACATTTGGGCTCGTCTAAGTATTCAAACCGAGCCAAAAATAGCGCAGTTTAAAAACCGAGCCAAAAGTGGCGGCCAAATAGACAAACTTGGTGTAGTGATGGTTAAATAATTTACACAATCCTTTAAGCATGGAAAAAAATTATACTGAGCATAAAAGAGAGGGTCTAGTTTTCAACTTTTCATACAAAATTCTTTTAAGACAAGCTTAGGATATAGATGTAAAACACAATATATGTATGGTCTCATGATCAACAAAGAAGTACAATACACACTAGAAAGATCAGGATGGATACAATCAATGCAAAATTAAGGATGTGATCTTTCAATAAGACATGTCGACTGTGACCTCGATATTTCTCAAGTTTCTCTAACAAAGAATGCTTATTTATATATATGAGTAACCATTTAACTTCTATTGGCTAATCGTTCTCACTGAAATTTGCCGATTATGTATATTTGGTATTTTATAGATAGCTAGTCAAAGAGTAAGAATTATTTTCAAAACGTTCACATGGAAATTGATGTATAATTGTTCCAAGACACATGCAATAAACAAAAAGATGAAATTCACTACTACAAAAACCCTATTCTCTTCTGTACTTAATTTATTTTCAATTGTGTTTATTGTATGTGAATTGATTCTTAAGACATGTACAAACCTTGAGCAAGATAAACAATATGCATAATGTTATCCCGCATATCAAGGGTATATATGAGAAGAGACAAAAGATGTGTGTCAACATTATCCCCAACGGACCACTTGAAAAATATGCCAAAAGAGATTCACAAGATTCTAGAGTACCAAAATGAATGAGCCTTAATTAACAACTATATGAACATCTTCTTGTCCAAAATCATAGTCATGTTCAAGATCACAAAAGTAAATATAATTATATAACCAAGGGGATAAAGTTCAAACAGAAATACATCAATAATATAACGACACAAGTGAAGGGAAACAAAATGAAGTAAGCAAATTCCGCGTACAAAATCAATCAGTTGTGCCCTACTACGGAAAGATTGAATTCAGATTGCAAGTTAAAGAAAACTACTTCACAACAACAAGGTTAAAAAACCTAAACAAGCCTGTAATAAGAACTCTTTTCAACAACAGGAGCAAATGTGTGATGAAAAATATAAGGTGGATATCCAATCACATCAAATATATGTATCTTAAAGCTATTATCATAAAGATAGTTCGAACTAAAAATAGGTGGCCACCGATTTATAGAAAAATGTTGTTACAGGAAAGTTAACACTACCAAATTGTTGGTATTACCTAAGTTTTATGCTTGCATACGAAAAGGTCTATATCTTAAAGTTATTGAATTTCAATAAAAATCTTAAATTTCATACCTTTACTAATAAACAAATATAAAGAGAAGATGTCTAACTCTTTAATAAAGAAAAAAGACAAAAAAAAATCATAAAATTGTGAGTGGAATTGAATCCTATAATCCAAGCAGTCTTTCTCAAAATCTTACCCAAGAAAATACAAAAACAATAGAATTCAGACCTAATTAATTCTAGAAATTAATAAAAATAACCTGAACTTATAGCATTTGAATAAACAAAATGCTAAATAACGGCTATAAGAACTTTGAAACTATCTGAACTCTTTCTGGCATAACTAATTTATTGCAATATTATCATGAAATCATGGAAACATAAGGTTTAGGTTTTAAAAAAAAAAACTTACTTCATTTTAAACGAACGAGCCAAATCAAATTCATATGACAACGAGAGAAAGCACGCATGTAGACAGTCATTTCTCCAGTTGCATGAATGCCGACTCGCGTGCTCTCTCTCGTTGTCAATAGATTAAATCCCAATTTAAGCTCCTTCTTTAACACAGACACACTCTTCCATCCATTTCTGCAACATGCAAGATCAGAACTTGTTGAAATAAGATGAAGATTATGACATATAAACTTCAAAATTTATAGCTAAAACTCAGATCCAAATCATCATCACCTTCGATCGGTAAAGAAGAAAGAAGAAAAAAACCCTAATCAGAAACCCTAATTACCCGATTTAAGGAAGAGATGAGATTGTACATGTACATCTATAGTTGGCTTTTTTTTATAAAGATTTGAGAAATTGGGAAAAAACAAGATAAGATTTAAAGAGATAAGATTGTGGGAATAAAGAGTGTTAAGAAAAGGACCAATACCTGATGATTATGATCTAGACCGCAAAGAGAAGGTACTGTTTTCCTTCTATGTTGGGACAACCCTTTAATTCATTTCATTGACACGTGATTTTTTTTTTAAATTAGTGAAAAAATGGTACGAAACTTTGACTTTTTTTAAAAAATTGGTCTTTTGTTTCAACTGTTGGGTTATTTTACTGCATGCATTTCCAATTTTCCATCCGTTGGTTATTTCTAGTTTTCTACTTTGTGTTAATTGTGTGTCTGATATGTCTTATTGCCTAGGTACGTGGCATAGTGGCAACGTTTTATTCCTTCTTTGTGGAAAATGGGTCCGAGGAAACTTAGCTAACGTGTCAAGGGCAGGTGAAGCAAACAAAAGGTTGTCAGATCATTCCCAATGGGCTTTAACCGCCTCAGGAGAAGGGCATTAAGCTGTTGTACCTAAACAAGAGTGGCCCAATTTAGATAAGCGAATAAAAGGAATGGGCTGGGCTGGGCTGTAGAGATGCTTATATCCACAAAACAATCCGTGTTGGCCTGGAATTTGAAAACGTCCAATTAACCCAGTTCTTTCTTTCAGGCTTCCAAAAGGTAGTATAACACTATAACTAGGGCACGACGAGCTATTTGTGGCTTCTTTTCTCAAAATCCTCAGATAGAAGAAGAACTCTCTCGACATCTCAACCGCAACAACAAAGAAGCTCTTCTTCACTTGTTCTTCATAAACATGGCAAACCGTCTGTACTCTCTCTTTATTCTGGTTTTGAATTGAGTTGGATTGGAATTTTGTTTATAGATAAAAATCTCAATTTTTTTTCCCGTGTGTTGCAGCTACGGTTCGTTCTTTCCTTCAAGTTGCGGCTACTACCGAAGAAGTCGCGCCACCGCTTCGAGTAGTTCAGATGGAAGGACTGGTAAATTTTTATCTTTCCTCTTTTATTTTCTTTTGTTTTTTTACCATTTATTAATGTTTCAATTAGGGTTATTAAGTGTGTGGATGGATGTGTTGTTGTTAAACCTTCGTTTCGATGCGATGCGAACTCTTGAGGAAGATTAAAAATCTATACATGGTTAAAATAGGGGAGTTATATATAGCTTTAACTGTTCTTCTTTGTTTTGTTATATTGAGGTATTAAAAATTTAAAACTCAATTGTTTG